CCCAATTGGGGTCGCACCTCCAGCAATCATCAATAGGGTTGCCAGTGCCACAAGAAAGGAAGGCCAGATTTCTTCTCGATGCATTTATTTTCCTGCAAAAATTATTCATCCAAGAAGTAATGACATGACTGGTACTTGTGCTCTGTGAGTTGTGATCAATTATGGATGCTACAATATGCAATTAGTACTTCTACTTCATAGTGAAGGAACGAAGTAGTGAGCGCGAAATGTTGGAATGATATTACCACAATTCAAGGATGAAGAACTAGTTAGTATGAATTGTACATACTCGTTTACTTCTTGCACCACTGATTCGGGGTCTGGCACTGGTGAAGACAATGTGTTAGTTGAGGCCAATAACAGAAGCAGGAAAAACAGAATGGAATGTGGCATTGCAGCTGTCTGCTCTTCGACCTGGCTGGAAATGTGAGGTCCGGGTAGAGGAGAGACAACGGAAAGGTAGAAAATGGTACGTGTGAAGCTGAAAAAGGTTCAGGTTTATATACAGTATGAGGGTTGGACATAAAATTGATTGAAGAAAACAATGAGGGCCTACATGCTCCAGTTCTTCTAATTCTGTACCTTCACAATGTGGTTCTGTTACCAAGTCCTTTACACTTATTAATAGAGCCAGTACTAGTATAGTAGTATAAATTTCCCCCCACTAACACAAATTTAAAGTTAAGGTCCATGCATGTGACTTGATATTGCTCTCAACGTAAGAGCTAGGCCCCCTCAAGCTTTTTTGCTTATCAGTCTCACATGGAGTATATTAAAGTTTCTCACATTTAGTCGTGGGGTTTGCTGAGGAAGACTAGTACTGCTGAGCAGTGAGTACTGACCAGAAAAGAAAGGCAAGCACATTTGATGCACTTTTTTGTTCTTTCAGTTGTACTTGGGCCTTGCGTGGCCATCGAAGTAGTTTAATTCTCTGCTTTTGTTCTCAATATAAACAGTGACAAGGCCGCGAGGCACCAAGGGGTCATCATTCAATCATCATTTGTCGCTATACTATACTCATGCATGCATAATGGCATCGCAAGCAAATTCTACCGACAGTTTTAAAATTATGCGTGCATCATAGTAACTGTCGGTGGTGTGGTTGATCAAATTAGAACATCCAAATTCAACAATAATTGGAGTCCAGTCCTTCTCTGTTTCCACTTTCCACTAAATATCCATTGACGCTTAAGCTAGAGATTTCCTATTGGAAACTCCATTACATTCATTTTTACGATTTCATGAAACTCGGGATCCCTTTTTTTTTTTTTGGCCAACTCGGAATTTTACAGCAATATTTTTGTCATCAAAATGAGGCATCCATCCAAGTAGTACGTTTAATAAAACCAGGCTCAATCATACACCATTAGAAAGGGGATGTAACGATGAATCGAGTCTTGCACAAGAGGAACATTTGATTAGGACAAAAAAGTGCAGACTTTAGAAGATGCTGACACTTCTTGAATCTGATGATAAACTTCCAACCTAATTCTGGCTCTAATTTTTTCCTCTGAAGTAGAAACAGAAACATTTTGATCATGGCTCTCAGAAAATGGATTTACTTTTCTTCATGGCCAGTTTCTTTGAGACCTATGGGTCTGCTGTGCCTGTGATCTCATGGATCACATATTTTATTCGGTCCGATGATAAGCACGGGTGTGTCAGTGTCCTCCAGACTAGAGTAATACCAAGACAAGATATTGAGTTACCCTGCAGGGATGTTCATGTTCTTCGAAATCCAATAAATTAATCTTCTGCTCATTCCCTTAAAAAAAGAAAGGCTTCCCCCCAGGATATTCAGGCTCGATTGAGTTAGATTGCCCACCCCTTTGTGCGGGTAAAGAAAGAAATCCAGCTTTTAATACTCCAACAATAAACCATGGAGCCCGCCGGAATTTCAAGAAAGCAGATTTCCGTTGTCCATCCTGAATAATGGTGGTGGCGACAATTGAAAGTCATTGGCTTCTTAGAGCTTCCACATGTCAGGTAGTTAATTGTACCCCACGTGGGGACACCGTAGAGTCCGTACCATCCATCTCTTTCGGGAATGAAGGTGGACATCGTTTTCTGGGGAAGGGCACGCACGTTCTTCCATGTGAGTTTTGTTCGCCTCCCTCTCCTTCTAATCTTGTTTCTATCCCACGTAGGACGGTAGGGAGCTTAGGCGCCTCGGTTGAACGTGGCTTTTCTCATTTTGTCAAATCGCAACTTGGATCAGTGTGGATACTCCTAGTTTCTTCTCTAATTTGGTGGGATGAGGATTCAGGAGGAGTTTGAACTGTTGCTTCATCTAGTCTTAAGTTTATTCGCCACCTTGACTGTGAATCTCTGTTAAGGTTGCACTTGATATTATCTCCAATTAACGTTTACTTTTGACGTGTTTAGATTCCGAAAGCATTCTCCAATTAACGTTTGCAAACATACTAAGCAAGCTTGAGCGTGGACTAGACTCTTTTCCTGTAGTCTTACTTTAATGGAAAATGATTAGGCCACAGCCTCGGCATTTACTATATATGGAAGGAAATCAACATGTTCAATTTCAACACAGAGAGAATTCATGCATATATATATATATATATATATATATATGTTCGTGGATATACTCCAGCCACATATACCATCCTTTATAGCCATTGAAATACAGAGAGAGAATTCATGCATGTTTACATGGTAATGCTGCTGCTCAATGATTAAGTGCAACTACAAGCACAGCTTGCTCATCCACATCTGCGAAGCTGAGTGGACACACTCATCTTCTTGATTATCATTATTGTAGCAGCACATTTTCTTGCTCCTGACAAATCCCAGCATATGTATGAGATTCATATGACGCTCTACCGTGCCTGATAAGTGCCACCAGTCCCATTTTAGCGAGGACAATTAGTTTAGATTGACATGCGATAATTTTTCGGGAAATCAAACAATATTGTTAAATACTGTTTTGGAGGCGTTAAAAGTACTTGGTAATAGTCTTGTATGTCAATTGAGTTAGCAGCCAATCAATAAACCACGAATGTAATGGTCTTTGCCTGCTTCTTATACCATGCAACATGGTTCGTAATATTGGCCGATATCGATACGTATCGGTCGAGTCGTAACCGGAACGAAACAGATCGGTACGATACGGATTCCCAAATCGCGGATATGGTAATATCTGCGACGACTTACTCTGACCCGATCGATATTGGCTGATTCGAATCCGTGATACATAATATCGGTCGATATATCCGAATTAACCGATATATCCGAATCAATTCGGAGTCGATTCAGATATTTTTTAAAATTGTGCCTTTTTGATATTTTGTAATTTTAGTAATTCTTTCAAAATTTTTGAAAACTATTATGTGCTATAATATGCATATCACTCGATATTTAATCGATATGCGGCGACGAATGTGAAACAATCGAGACCGCGATGTAACTGCGACCCGTGATGGTGAACCATGCATGGGCTTCCAGATATGTCGGACAAAGGGAAATGTGAGAAGTCAAAACCATTGAACAAAGATGATGGATACAATATTGGTTATGTGCAAAATGTAAGTGGCACTGTGGAAGAACTCTTAGTTGCTTCCTCTAATCAGGGGCAAGTGTGTGAGTGTGACAGAATGCTCACATTATGCTGCAAACAATTGTTGCCGACAACTTTGAAGGTAGAAAGAAGGGTCTCAAAGCTAAATGTAAGATCTTACACCATTTTTGATTTATCCCTACTAGTCCATTATGCGTATTACGTGCACAGTTTGCCCAAGAGCTGACAGTGTAGTTGATTTTATGGTGTCCTGGTCAGTGGTGGATGAAAATTACTGTCACTAATTTAAGACTCAAAACAGTCGCAATTTTCAATACTTTCGACCACTAAAAAATTATCTCCTCTCTTTCCAGAGGAAAAAGAATAAGGGAAAGAAAGGAAAAAAGGAATTTTTTTTTTTTAAAAAAAGAGTACTGGTTAAAGGGTGAATTTGTAAAAAATACTCATAAATTTTACGTTGACTTTTTAATAGTCACCGTGAGTTTGAATGAGATAACTGGTAATGACATTCCAGTTTAATCCACATGTGAGTGAGGTTTAGTTTTTTAAACTATAGAAACTTACGTGGTAAAGTACACGGAAGGAAGGAAGGAGATTAAACTAAGCAAGCGGCCTGGATCTCTTTAAACGGCCAGGTGTACCTAAATATCAACAACCTGTACCTGTGATGTGAAGGAGCATTTGACAAGTTCAGAATTTCGGGCTTTGCAAATTCAATTCCAGTCAAAAGCCTAATGCTGATTTTGCCTCATTAAGGTTTTAGAACCGGTCCGTTCCAACCAAGGCTGGAAAGTTGGGCTTTGGGCTACTTTGTGTTAGACTATCAAATTTGCCCCATGGATCCATGACGAGAGTATTCATTGGGTCAGCCCACGGATCTAGATCGGCCATTCAGTCTATCCCACCAGTTCTCTGCCCAAGGCCTGAAACCTCACCTGTCTATCAAGAAAAGGACACATGGTACTGCCCTTAGCACCAACCCCTAAAGTTAGGGGGGCCACACTTTAGTCAGACATGGACAACCGAATAAACTGCCACCTCCGGTCTAGGATTGCTACGGACCTTCTGTGCCACACTCTGTCCCACTTTTTATTATAACTACTATTTCTCTTACATAAATATCATGTTTTAATTTTTTTTTTGTTACCTAAAGATCCAATAACTATTAATTAAATAAAAGATTAATACAACAGTTTCAAAAAAGCAATATATAATTAAAAAATTAAAAAAATTTTATGAATTTTTTGATATTTGGTCAGATATTTCATTTTTTTTCAACAATCGAAATTACTGAAAATCATATAACAAACCCGGATATTCCATTTATAGACCACCCTTTCGTACCAATCGTTCATCAACTACTGCCTGTTCTCATTGGTACGAGGAGGAGAGGGGCGCTGCCCTGCCATTAATCAGCATTATCTCACTTTAACAGAGAGAGGCGTGAAATTTAAAAAGCAAAATTAGATGCAGAAAATTTGAAATTAAGACCTCTAATTTCTTGCGCCTCGAGAACGAGACCTCCTAAGCCAGCACTAACAGCAAATTTACACCCCTTATTAATATGGGGATCTAACATTTCATTGGGAACACAGATCACTTGTGGCTTCAAATTAAACAAATCTAAGTTAATATTCAAATTTAACACATCTATCACCTATTTACCGCTTAAGGCGCGCATGAACCTAAGCAAATCTTCTTGAGAGGTTAATCCTGCAGTCACTACTTCCTAGCTTCTTCACAAATTGTCTTGATGTCTATTTACAGAAGGGACGATCGATATAAAACAGATTTAGAAGCACGGATGCTTCCAATGGAGATGCAATTAAATGGGCTTTTAACTAAGATCAATATCGACCCGCTCAGGTTTTGCCCTTTCGGTTTGGTTGGAAACCAGCTCGATTCCAAGCTGTCCTTTATCACCAGCTCCAAATGCATACAGCTTACCAGAGTCTGTGAGGGCAAACGTGTGGGCGTTCCAATATATGGAATTGGTAAGGCTAATCTGTACCACCCTCTCATTCACCTGCTTCAGGGACGTCACGATTTCTGGGCTTAGAACATTAGTGTGCCTGTTTACCTGTAAAACAAGACAACAGTAATGCACATCAGCAAATCACTTTATAAAGAAAGATGTCCATGTAGGAAGGAACGAGCCCGCTCTTGAATATAGAGACTTCTGAGGAATGGATGTTTTCACTTTGCGTTTCGCAATGGCAAACAGCTGAGCTTAACCCTTCTAATTTTAGCACCATCATGTTTCAGGTGTATTTCAGTTTCTTGTAGGCTCCTTACTCGGTTCTAACCTGACACCCTATCTGATTTCCTCAAGCCGCGGGCGTTGAATAAAGTAAATAGAAGAAATAAAGATGGGAATTTCATTCATTTTGATGCTGTGTGTGTATCTGCTAACCTATCATGACTGGCCTCTATCCTGTGAAAGTTGATATTATGGCTACTAACAAATGAACCAGATCAGGGTGACAAGGACTATCTCGAAAGAATATCAAATTGAAAATTCATAAACATCTGTAGAAAGTGAAAATGAATATAATAGCAAACAGATCTTGCAAGGTACACATATAACATTCTATACTAAACAGAACTAAACAATTCAGCTGGATTCTGAAGATAAAGAAGACAACTTGACCAAGATAAAATAGACAGGAAAAGAGAAGATCAAACCTGTCCGTCAACAGCACCAGTATTATGTCCCAAACTAGATGATTCCCCACAGCCAAAAGAATATACATCACCCGCATCAGAAACTACAAAAGTTGTATAGTCCCCTGTAGCAACATTAACCGCTTTGACATTGCTTAGTGCTTCAACCACCTTAGGAATCGATTCACAATCTTCGTTCCCATGACCTAAGCAACCATAACGTCCCCAACCCCACGTGCAAACTCTCCCATCTTTCCCAACAACTGCAGCATGCCATGCTCCTGCTGCCACGACTACTGGTTGAAGATTCAAATTCTGAAACTGTTCAATCAACCTTGGATACTTTTCATCAGTTCTTGTACCGTGTCCAAGCTTTCCGCCCAATCCACAACCAACAGAGTATACTGACCTGATGAGTCACCAAAAAGAGCAACATATAAGAATCATTTACCTATAAAAAATTTGTTGCCAAGTAATATTGGAGCGCGATGGAACTATGAGCGGCAAACCATGGTAATCTAGACAGAGACTCTGAAATCATTTTGAAGTAATGCAGGTGATTAGGAGAGACAACTTGACTAGAAAAATAGAGATTAGAAGCTGAGATAATATTGAAGATGAGATTTTGTGGTTAATACAGAACTCAAGATAGTTTGTAGTTCATGCAATTGAATTCTGTTGCTTGAACAATACCTCACCAAAGCAACAAATAAAGATGCAACAGAACCACAGGCAATATCCTACCAATAACTGTCATTCTGCATATCATAATTATTTTCAAGTAACAATGGGTTTGTTTGGATAGAGTGTTATTTGAAATAACATTGTAACACTATTTGTGATGTGATGTATGTCAGATAAAAAGGTGATTAAGAATATAAAAAAGTGGGTTGGAAAATGTATTTATGATGCAAGCAAAATATTATTTGGAAAAATTTGCTAACCAACCAAATGAGAAAGAATATTTTTCTTGAAAGTTCAACCAAAACCCATCCATGAAGATACAAGTTTAATCTCACTACTCTAATAAATTAAAGGGACTCACATGCCAGTAGGCTGGCAAGCCAAAGCAAGAAGGTAGCAGTATCCAGCTGCAATTTGCACAACAGGAATGTTCTCAAGTGCCCCTAGTAATGGGCGAGGTTCTAGGTCATTTGGCTCTGTTTGGTGACCAAGTTTTGTTTCATTCCCCCAAGAAAAAGTATAAACTCTTCCTTCTCTAGACAACACAGCTGTGAAGAAATTTCCAATTGCAGCCTGCACAACAAAGACGTCTTTCAATGATTCCACAAGTTGCGGAGTAGTTACAAGTCTACTTCCTTGAGCCCCATATTCAGCATCTCCAAAGGAATCCTTTCCAAAGGCATACACCCGACCAGCATCACTAATCAACATTGTCCGGCCAGCCCCAGCAGCTGCTTGAATAATTCGAACTCCTTCCAAGGATCTGCAACATAATTAAAGTTTCACCGAAACTTTACACTAAAAAATTCTGCATCTAGACTCCAGCTTTTAAAGCAGCATATGACAAAATCAACATATAATAACAACCTAATTGGGCGAGGCCGCCAGTCTTCCTCAGTGGTGCCCTGTCCAAGCTGTCCAGAGCTATTAGAACCAAATGAGTAGACAACTCCTTTTGATGTTACAGCAATGCTGTGACCAGGACCTGCTATGGCCTGTGACTTCTCCCTCCTGGAACAGACTTCACCAGCAAGCAGATATCTGAGGACCAGTTTCCAGGAGCCCCCACATCTTTGCTTCAAGTCTTGACGTTCTTCATCTGTCATTGGCTTAAATATGGCTCTCTTTTGGCACATATCAAGCGCTGCAAGCTCTGCCATAGAGAGCTCATAATCAGGGGCAAAATGTGCAGGCTGCCTGAAGAAAGAACAGGTTGCCTGCAAAACCAGCCCAAAAATTCACAATACAATCAGCAGCATCATCAATTCAACAAAGATAATTACCATTGGAATCCAAATAAAAAAGATACACTTGCCTCTAGCTTTGCAAGATCTTGGGGATCCAAATTGCATCCAGTAAGGACATGAAGAACAATCGAGGGATTTGCAGACAATGGGAATTCTCCAGGACTGACGTTGCCATAGCAATGCCGTTGCTGTCGCTCAAATGTAGGCAAGGGCGAAGTAGTAAGAGCCACAATTGGTTGATCAGGAATGACGAGAGCAGCAATTGGTTGTTCAGCAATATTATGGCATTGAACACTCGACGTTCCACTAGCCGTGGCATCCATGGGCACCACTGTCATATGCAGTGCCCAAACTGAGCAGAGAAAGAGATTTCAACAACTGAAGAAAATGCCGCAACACGAGTTCATTAGCACAATGTTACTTCACCAGAAAGTCGATCACTCTAACAAGCAGAAACCAAGTATGTACCTCAAATTACAAGCTGATCAGCAACCTTTAACTTCCAAACCTACAGGCATAACAAAAAAGCACATTATTGAAGCACATTTGAGACAATAAATAAGAACTAAAGAACAAAGTCAAATCCAAGCAGATAAACGCCATCTAACTGCAAAGATGCTGTGTTTTTCCGAAATTCCCATATCAAACAAGAAGATGAAGTAGAAATGAACAGATCGCCGTAGCAAAGGAAGTTCAATTCTGTTATAAGCGAGGAAGACGGGACAATAAAGTCCGATCATCCATCAAACAGAGCTTGATTGAACGATACCCAAAATGAACTGAATAGTATAAAGCATTCTTGGTGAGAAAGTAATAAAAGCAATCAAACAAGTAACTCAAACCAGAGATCATATGCACACCACAAGCAAAAGAAAACTGTTACACAAAGAATTCCATTCTTTCCCCCAAGGATATTCCAAAAGCCAAAAAAAGGAAACTAAGAAAGGAACAGAATTTCAGCAACCAAAAGATAACACTTTCAATTCACTTGCACCATCAAGAAAAATATCATATTGAGATAAAATTCTTGCAGAGTCATAAAACGGCGAATCGGTAACGATCCCAGAAAATTGATCACAGTAATCAACAGTCGTGCAAATGAACTAGCCATAAAAGTCTCATCTTTGATGCTTACAAGGCCAAAAGATCATCCGATGATCAACAAAATAAGTACAATTCATCACAGAAGAAAACAAAACTCAAAGTGGAATTATACAAAACCGTCCAAACTCAACATCTGATACAAGGACAACTCTTCATTCTGTACATTTGAATTGTTACAGATCGAGAAACAAAAAAAAAATTAGAACAAATATTACACGTGAGATAGGCACAAGATTCTTCAAAACCCATCAAACTTTTGCTGGAGTATATACATATCAGAAGAGTGTGAAAATGGTGGGTTTATCTGATCAAGATATTATCTTTCCTTATTTTAAGGCAATGTTTTGTCCAGATGATGATTCTAAAGAAAAAAGGGATGGGCAATCGGTACTTTGTCGGATTATTTTTTATTTCTTGAAGATAAATTTTAGAGAGATAGAGAAAGAAAAATAGAGAAGGGAAGGGGAGAGGAGAGGAGAGTTTGATTGTGAAAGTGGAAAATGGTAAGAAGATGATGGTAGTTTATAAGAGAAGGAGCTTTTTGGGTTGCTTTATTTTCTCAATTGGATGGATGGTTTTCTCCTGTACGTTTTCCAAAGGGCAACCGAAATGAGTGTGATGAGGTGTCAATCCTCAGGCGAGGGATTAAAGTGGTCATATTCGCTCGTGGCCTCAGCTAAAACCCACTGCCTCCTTCCGCACACAAACAAATAGCACCAAAGTATATTCCACTTAATTTACATATTCTTTCTTTGCATAGACATTTTTGTCCAATTATTTTTCACTATAGATGCATTTTGTAATTACCTTTTTAACCCATATAGTACATCAAGTCCCAAATAATGGAGTGCTAGTGTTTTTATTTATTTATTTTTTGTTAAAAAAAAAATCTTCAACCCAAAAGAGATCTGCTCCAGCAATTATGAAAGGTGGTGACATTTACACGACATCTCACTCCCACCGTCAACCATGTGACGTGGTAGAACGTAAAAATATGAGAGTGGAAAATGTGCAAGACTTGTTAGGTGTAAAGTTGAAGTTAATTTTTTTCTTTTTGTGTACGTATTGATCGGAGAAATGTCGATTACTTCATAGGTTAGGATAATTTAGTCAGGTCTGCATATTTACGAACTCCTAATTTTTAAGTCACTTTAGACTCTCCTCGCCGCCAGTAAATTAGAATAGAATAGATTATACAACTGTTATTATTACTAGCAGAAAAAAAAAAATTTACTGCACTGGCACTCTGAACTTGGACTAAAACTGAGCAAGTACTTTTAACCCCCAAGGACAATGCGTAGCCCGAGAAGGTGATGGTAAATGTTGCGAAGACAAGGAGTCAAAATGTGAATGAATGGATCTACAATTTTTTTTTTTTTTGGTCAATCGTTGACTCTTACTCAGTTACTCCTACCCTTTATTGGATCAAGGGGAGCTAAAAATCCCAAGTTACAGTTAGACTTACACTTCATGTTTCATCATCTGATGGCCAACTCGTCTGAGAAGAGTCGATTGATTGAATGAATGGATGTACTAGAATATAAGTAGACCTGATAGCTGACTCATGTGAGCAGAGTTAATCCATCGAATGAATGGATCTACCCGAAAACAAGTATTATTGGGAATATGGACTTGACAGCAGGACGGCAAACAAATCGAGTTGAGTCGAGTTTTGGACTAATCAAGTCGAGTCTCGACTAAATTTTATCAAGTTTGAACTCGAACTCGAGCTTGAACTCGACGAGCCGGCAATTTAAAGCTCGAGCTCGAGCTCGGAAAAAATAAAAAATAATTATATTTATTTTTTTAAAAATAAATAAAATAATATTTTTTTCTTAATAAATAATAAAATATTAAGAATATATATATGCAATTTTATTATTAAAATAAGAAAATAAAAAATATATATATTTAAAATAAAATATATATATACTTAAAATAAAAAAATAAAAAATATTATATATATATACTCGAACTCGCGAGTCGGTTTGCGACCTAACGAGCTTAATATTTTGAACTTGAGTTCAAGCTTGATTTCGACTTGAGTCAACTTGAGCTTGACTCGAGTTCGATATTGATCGAGCTCGACTCGAGAGCGGCTCGATTCGTCTGCAACCCTGCTTGACAGCTCCCCTGAAATAAAGGAATTTGCCGCCTGGTCCGTTACGGCAACACCATCTTTGAGTTTAGAGTACAAGATGGGGGCTAAAGCTAAACCAACTGCGGTACAAATTGCAAGCTTCTTTCTTGGCCACTAAAACTCTTCCGGGTTTCAGAATCGGTACGTAAGGATTTCTTATTTCAGTTTGATTATCATTAGTTTAGTGGTTTTAGTCAACTTGTTAGATTAGATCAACTTTAGTGGAACTGGGATTAGAAAAATTGTTAAGAGCAGTGTTTGAATCTTGCAAGAGTTATAGGTCAATCTGATGCATGGGATTATGTAAGTAGAATATACAAATCTCCAAGCTATAGGCTTAATTCGTAGGAATAGAAGAATCTAATCCATAGTGAGTGGGTTTAGTTTCTTAGAGAACTCTAGGGACTTGGCACCGTGTACACGCCTGAGGTGCCAATACCATAACCAGACGAGCAAAACCGGCCGGCAGCATGTTAAATTTTTTGTACATGGTAATGCAACAAGTACGTGTGGTGTAATCTCAAGTCTCAGGCGAATTTCTGACGAGTGAAGTGGTTAATGAATTTTAGAGAAGATGCATTATTTTAGTTTGAATAATGAGATTGAATATCAGGCCAAAGCGGTGGAAGATTTTGACAAAAAAAAGAGAGATTATTTTAGTTTGAATTGGCTATCTATTTGATTTTTATGCTTTGGAAGGTTATTTTGTCGTGCTAAAATTGCTACTAATACATTTCCAAAGGAATGGGTATTATGTAAATGAATAGAAAGTAGAATTGAAGTATAAGAAATCAAAGAAAGACTGATCATCAACAAACATGTCATATGATTCTTAAAATTAATTTTCCGGTCAGCCCACCGGAACTGAAATCGCGCAAATTTAACACATGTTTCACACCATAAGTACCTGCAAATGCTAAAAAGCAAGTCGCTATTATCTATCTACCGGAAAAGTAGTCGCAAATTCTCAGTTTTTACTGCAACCTCAATAATTGCAAACTTTGCTTACCACAAAAAAAAATTTAAAAATACTTACAATAATAAGCAACGCAATTACACATTATTGACTATATATGATAAATCGATCAGAACTGATCAGTGATCTAAATAATGGTATCCCAAGTCACTACTTTTCCACAAACTGATGCTTAATTCCTTGACTTTGAGAGAGACTATCTGAAAATTTTATGAAGGAAATCATACTACATATAGAGCAGAGATCAGGTCACTCAGCTGAGTTGATATAAACACACACATGGTTGATAAGAATTTGAGTTATCTGTTTTAATTGATTTTGAGTAAACCTGTCAATCGACTATTATCGGTTGTTTGAATTTGGATTAACAAAACTTGTAAATCAATTATTATCGATTTTATTTGAGTTTCGATTAACAAAAGGCTAGAGACACGTGATAGCTATATAAATAAGGGACAGAGGCTATTTTGGAGATAGAGGATTTGAGGCCCTTAATCAACCATATGTTATCTGAATTTTCCTTCAGAAGATTCCAAAAAGAACCGATTCCTAGCCACGAAATTCCAAAAAAAAAAAAAATCTTTGGACAGCAGGGCAGGGATTCACGCAGACTCTATATATTAATGAAATTCATGCATACTTCTAATTTGGGCAAGAGATTATGCATTCTAATTGATACGTACATGCTAAAACAATTGAACCAAACAAACATGCAGCTGCAGGACGGTGCTTTCTTGCTCAGGATTCATTCATTTGGAGTATTTTAGCTAGTAGTGACAAGTTTACAAGAAATGAGTTTGATTGTACTTCCTACCTATCCCATTGGCGTAAACCCCCAAAATTTTGACATAATCGTGTATAAGAATACTTCCACCACCATGCTTTTCTCATTGTGGAGCTTGGAGTCACCTTAATTCTCCATATCTTATGATTGAGAGCGGCGTTCTACCGCAAGACTCCTTCCTAGCAAGCAAGTAGCAGTAATTAATATGTATGCATGAAACTTGAACCGATTCCCACAGACTTCCAAGCCAAGTAACCCAAATCATTAATATATATATACACTTCCTCCATTTAATTAAAAGTGTCATATTTTTCATTTTAAAATATCTCAAAACTTTTGTCATGTTAAAAAAGTCAAAGCACCTTTTAGTTTCTCTTTTCAATATAGCTCTTATTTCTAATTACATGTATGTTACGATTCAAATTTAAATTTTAAATTTGTAAATGTAAAATTCGAAAGAGAAGTACAAACTATATTTAAAAAGTTGAATTTTTCAAATATGATTAAATAAGTGGGATAGGAGAGTATATATTTTTCCATTCCCCTTTGAAGTGACAAAATTGTACTTTTTTTTTTGTCAACACAGGGGTATCCGGATCAATTCTTACGGGATTCGACTAATCTCCTGCGGCCCGGGAGAGGAGGCCCCACTCCACTCTGAGCACGTTAACAATGGAACTCGAACCCTGAACAAGTCAGGAAGATCGTCATACCTTATGGAGGGGGAGCGGACCGTTCCAGCTATCTTGTGGGGCAGAAGACCAGTCACGTAAAGTAACAAAATTGTACTTGAGAGACAAGTAATTGGCCGCTAGAGCTACGTGGCCTTTTTTTTGGGGGGGGGGGGGGGTGGGGGTGTGTGAGCTACGTGGTGGCTATGCCGCTGATGAAGCATACCTGTGCCGCGGGGAAATTAGGCATGTGAAAAGAATGCCGGAGGTTCGGAAGCAGTCCACCTTACATTTTTGTTGGAGGAGCCGTGTTCAGCTTGAGCTTGTCTTATGATGCCAACAAATACTTGGTAGGTTCTTTTTTAATCGCAACCCTCTTCAGTTAAAATTTAAAGTTAAAAAAAAAAATCCAAAGAGTCGACTAAATTTACAATAATGGGATAAGTAATAAAAAATGATAAGTGAAAACCTTTGCTTTAGTAATTATAATGTGTATGCGAATTAAAAAAATTAATTAAAAATTATATTTATAATACAAGATGAATAAAAAAAATTTTTTTTTTTGGCAAATCATCCTTTGTTCTGCGTCCAAGCAGTTCCTGCTACTCAGAAGCAATCATGAAAGCACAAGCAATATATTTAATACTTTACAGAAGTGGCAAGAATGCGTACTCCTCCTCTAATACTGGAATATGCTGTCAAACTGGCAAACTACGCAGGAAAAGGGTAATGCCTGCCTTCATTAATATACCTTACCATAATTTGGGATTTCCCGCTTACTTTCTTTTCAAAATATTTACAAATTAAATTCGCCAATCATCATCCTTCAAGTTTTTTTTTAAAAAATAATCAAGTTATTGTGAATAAACAAATAATAATGTCCCCCTTTAATATTAGAAATTAAGACCTTTTACTCTTTGTTCTTATTCATGTTCCTCGCCAAGGTTAACGTCTGTAAAGTTTGCATATGTATTTGGTGATGCTCAATATTTATTTCTTTATTTAGTCTTTGT